TATGTACACACACACACAAAGAATCCAACATAGATAAAAGGAAAGTAAAAGAGGCAATTTGCATCAGAAAAAGGGAACACAACATAAACAGAGACATCGGAGGATACGACTTGCCGCACATATACAATGAGTTGCTGGAAAAGTACAAGCAGGAGGGGGCCCCGGAGACGAACCACCATTAAAACATCAAGGGCGGTTGGTGGCGCAATCTGGTGCAACCTGGACCAAACCAGACCATTATAGCACATGCTTCAGTCTGAAGAAGTTGACAGTCTGCCAATGAAACGTTACAGGTAATCTATTGTACGTTTTTTTTTTTTGTTTTTTTTTTTGGTTCAACATATAAAAGTAATAATTCTAATAAATTTAACTTGGAACCAGATGAATTTATTCAACACTAGGTTACCATTCATTGGCTGAGTTAGCATGTGTGGGTGTGTCTATTGTATATTGTACGATAGCAGTGGCGTAGAAAAATATTTTTCATTGGTGGGGGATGATTGGCGTGTTAGCCAGTGTCGTAACAGGCGCGGGGGGGGGGCAGGGGGAAAACTGCCCCTCCCCTGACGGTTTTTATCGGGCTGACCAAGCCGTCGTACCGGGCTGGGTAATAAGAGAAAAGAAAGAGGGGAGAGGGAGGGAAAGAGAAAGAAGAGGAAAAGAAAAGGAAAGAAAAGAGAAAAATAAAGACAAGAATAAAAAGGAAGATATGATAATGACCAGACTCACAACACCCTGCAACCCCTTCTCCACTTCAAAAACTGTCATAACACCTTTGATCTATGCTGCCCGATGGCGTAACCACTGGGGGACAGGGGGAAAATATCTATCTTCCCCCACTCCTTTATAAATGCCCTTTCATCCCCTGAAAGTGCCTAAAAACCTCAAATTTCGCGCGCATTTCTTGTTAACATCGCCCAATTTCCTCTAAAAATTGCCGGGGGACAAGGAGAAAATATCCACCTTTGGAAAATCTTTCTCCACCCCTTGACAAATGCATCCTCTGAAAGTGCCTAGAATTCTCAAATTCTTTGCGCGCGTTTCTTGTTACGGTAGACCAATTTCCTCTATAAATTGCACATTTTAGGGAGTCTTCATCAATACTGACGAAATTAAAATTAAAAACACAAAAATATTTTGCGCGCTTGGCGCGCATTTTTTAGGGCTTTTTCAGTTTTATCCTTTTAAGTTATTTAAACACATAATAGTCCCAAACTCAGGAAAGACAAATTTAAGATAGATAATTTTAACCTAAAAGAAGGGCCTCAATGTGTATAGATGGTGAAAGAATATGTTTGTAATAAATAAAACCATGATGAAAATGCTTAAATTTAGTTTCAAACACACGTGTGTGGCCTATATTATAAATAAGACTAGAAATTGCAAATTGCAAGTGAAGTGCTGAAAAGTACAACTGCATATAAATGTTCTTCGAACAATATTATTTATGCGAGTCAAGTGAAAACAATGAATAATAAAAATATAACAAATAATATGAGACACGACCCATACGACCACACAAAGTCGTAATTTTTCATTTTTGTCAAAAAGTGTCTATAGTGGTGAATCAAAAATTTCTATGTATGTGGAAAATGTAGTTGATTACCAAAGGTTACAATTTTTATTTTCAAGACTGCATTGATTGTATGTGTGCCCTTGTGCGGACAGGAGATGAGCCCTCCTCTGAAGCTGGAAACCTTGTTTTTGCAAAATAAATTGATGCAATTTGCTATTATAGGCCTAATAAATAAATTCCTCATCAACCGATATAACCTTAAACATTCTTGGAATTGACATAACATTACTGATGTCGTACACACCCTTCAGTGTGAAATGTGGCTCTCTTTCCAAGCACATCATCTAAGGAAAGAAGAGTTTAGATTGGTACCAGATGAAATATTTTTGTTATCAACATTAATATATTATGCTAATTTTCATCTTTGTAAGCGCATAAGACAGTGCAAATTATTTCTGTGACAGTCTTTTGAAGTCAAAATATTGGGGGCGGGGTGATACAATGGACCATCCCCCCCTTGTCAAATATTGGGGGAATATATCCCCCAACCCCCGGGATCTACGCCTATGCACGATAGTATCACAGTATCACAGGTACTTATTCCTATGTCAATAAGTCAATTATTCCGAGGTTTAATCAAATATCATTGAGAAACTGAAACTGAGATGTGTATGCAAGTGTGCTGCCCTCTATAGCCATATAAAAGTTACCTACTGTGTTACAGTTTATCGATCAGCAGACCACAACAATTTAGACAATAACAAATAGAATAATATAAATGAATCCATGTTTCACTTGAACATTAACACTATGTTGGGTGGGGGAAAGGGAGTTTTAATGTTCTGGTGTCAGGTACAGGTTGCTGGCATTGGTACAGCTTGAGAAAACGGACCGATTAGTTTCTCTCATGGTTGGCCTTGGCGGTGTGCACACAACATTTGGTTTTTATCAACATAGGCCCTACCACATTAATATTTTTTATTTCTTTATTCATCCACATATTGACGTCATGCCACAAAACACAATGCACATTAAATATAGTTGTTACGGCATGCATGCCAGACAACTTAGAGAGCTCGTGAAGCATGTTTCTGT